AAGAGAGACAGGTTGGGAGAAGGAAGGGAGGAAGGAAGGAGGGAAGGAAGGGAGGGAGGGAGGGAGGGAGGGAGGGAGGAGAGACAGGTTGGGAAAAAGAAAGAATGGAAATCTGAAGGAAGGAAGGAAGGAAGGAGAAGACAGGTTGGGAAAAGGAAGGAAGGAAGAAAGGAGAGACAGGTTGGGAAAAAAAGGAATGGAAATCTGAAGGGAAGAAGGAAGGAAGGAAGGAAGGGAGGGAGGGTTAACATAGATAAGTCCACCCTGGTTCCGTGTCTCAGTTTCTTGGAATCTGAAGACTGCGGTGTTCCAATCAAAGTGCAGCTAGTGGCGCAAGTGACAACCCCCCCCCCATTGGCCAAAAGTCACATCACTCTCCTTGAAGGCCCGCCTTACCAAGAGGGAAGGTGATTTGGTCACACATGCCCAGAAGCTGCCCAAAGTAGATCTTGTTCTCCGAAGGGTGGATGCCAAGATCTGCCATCCTGCAGAAAAAGAAGGAAGGGCTTCAGAAGACAACCTACCTGTGGCTCTTCCACCTGGTTCTAGAATAGTCCTCCCCAACCCTCCTTCCAGATGTGCAGACTCCATCTTGCGGTGTCTCCAGGACGAGGAGCCCTCCTCTTTGGGGCTTCGTCAGGTGGGTCGGTGGGCCTCACGCTGACCAGTACCTGCCCAGGGTGAACTTGACTGTGTCTGTATTGTGAGAAGCCACCATCACGTTGGCCTTCCGGCTGTGCCGGATCTCCTCCAAGATGTAGTCCAGGCATCTGCAGGAAAGACGGGCGGAGGTGTCAGCGGACCTCCCAGGTGTCCTCCTTCCCCCCCCCCAAGAGCCTCGGAGCCCCGAACCCCCTTCTGCCCCACCTGTGGTACATCTCGCTCGTCTTTTCATAGGTTGGGTTGATGGGATCCTCGTAGCCCACCTCGGCCGCCCGACTTCGCTCCTGCTCCATGTAGGCGCCCCTCACCAGCTTGGCTCCGAAATGCCAGCCTTCCCGGCGTGAGAGCTCTACGTCGATGGTCACAT